CTCTCGTACTGTGGAGCCCAGAACTGGACACAATACTCCAGATGCAGCCTCACCAGGGCTGAGCAGAGGGGCAGGATCAGTGCTGCAGGTCAGGGGGCTATTGCAGCTAATTAGTGCCAGTCTCCAATGAAACATTTCACACAGTCTTCCACCCAGGTGTTTGGATTTCCCCTGTTCTGCATGGCCCTCGCTTTTCTGCGAGGGCACGCGGGCTGAGGAGGGTCGTTTAAACCCCTGCCCACGCCCTGCCACCTGCCTGTGTTTCTTTCAGGAGTTACAGCAGAAGTCATCGTGGTGGCCTCTTTCGACGAGCTCCGCAGAAGAGCTCCAGAAGCCAAGGGGAAGATCGTTGTCTACAACCAGCCGTTCATCACGTACTGGCAGAGCGTGCAGTACAGGTCACGGGGCGCCGTGGAAGCCGCGAAGGTCGGAGCAGTGGCATCCCTCATTAGATCCGCGGCCTCTCTTTCTATCCGTAGGTAAGTGGGTTTGGCTCCCTGTGACTCACGCTCCAGCCGTGCGTTCCTGTGTCATTTGTGGGCTGGCGCTGTGGTTCTTTACAACTTGCACGTCGCCGGTTGCAGGTGGGTGTCTGGCTGCACATTCATTCTTTTTCCCGGTGCTTTGTTCTTCTTTCAGAATGTTTTCTTTTTTGTTTCTGGTCTGAAATTGGTGTGGTTTTAAGAACTTCCTGCATTCTCAAGGCTCCCATAAATATTCTGAAATCAACCAAAATCAAATGCTTTTGGAGACAACTTAGATCATTAGTGAGGGTATGAAATTATAACTCCCTATAATGGAGTAGAATGTAGGTGACTGTTTTTCCTCTAATGGTCATTTTCCTAAAACTAGTTAAGTACTAGATGAAGCAGTAATCTGCTTTGATTACAATTAGTCTGAACATATTAGAAGTTAGATTCACAGAGTTCTCATTCTGCTTTTTAAATAAGACAAACTAAAGCCATGATTTCTTAAAAAAATATATTTTTCAAACTCCTAGTGCTTTACTTACTTTTCTTATCATGTGAAGTTCTATAGTTTTATAATACAGAAATGAGCTCATTCTAGTTTTCTGATTGGTAACAGAACTACTTTTATTTAGTGTACTTTCTCCAACTCAGAAAGCTTACACTGCTGAAGAAGATAACTTGAGCCACAGAGAGAGTAGATGTGGGGAAGAGTCCAGGCACAACATAAAGGAGTGACAGGTACACGCTGACTTTTAGTGTAGCATTTTTAAAATTGAGATAGTTATTGGTGAGCTGGAAGCCTGCAGCAGGCTGCATGCCTGGCTTGCAGGCTGAGATGAGGGCCTGGGCTGGACTGAGCGCTGGTGTGAGGTGGACACTTCCTCCTGCCCACCCTCCTGGACTTGAGTTGTCTGAGCAGCAGCTGCCTGGCTGGAGCCACCTGTGTAGCTGGGATTTAAGTGATATGAGACACAAACTTGACTGCTTAAACAGTGGTAATAAAGCCCCTTCCATAAAAGAGCATTGAAAAGGTGTTTATGAAAGTAAGAGGTGCTGTATTTTGTAACGTTGATCTCTCTTTGGATGGCATCTTTGGGCAACACAGAGCATTTACCTCTCTCGGGAGTTGCCCAGTAGCTCTTAACCCAAAGAAAAATTCTGTGAAAATGCTTAGCTATGGCTAACGTGACCCTGATTGTGTGCCATGGCATGAGCTGGGATCACGGCTCCCGTGCGCTCTGCTATGTGCGTTCCGTAGGAGCCTGGCCTGGACGTGGGAAGGGCTGCTGTGGCTGTGGGCTGCGCTCCAGCCCGCGGCTGGGAAGTGGCCTGGGCAGGTGCTTGAAGGCCCGGTGGATTCTGCCATTTCAGATGGAAATGCAACGTGGGCACGTCTCAACAGTACAGAAAGCGTGCAAGCATCACACCTGAGAAATACAGTGATGGCACTTGTATCTGCTTATCTGCAGAGGACAGCTCTGCTGCCAGTGTTGTTGCTTGAAAGCATTTTTTAAATTAATTTTTGTTCCATATTTCTCTAAACAAATCATGATTACCTGTTTAAAATGCCTTTTCTGAAATATTTGATATTCAGGTACTATTCACAATATATATTACTGTATTTCTTGATGAAGTGTTAACCTTTTCCTTGTGAGAGAAGCTCTACAAACGTAGTGATGCTTACAGTGTATTTTCTAATATTTAATAAAATATGTTTGGGTTTTTTTTTTAATGTTACATTTTCAAAATGGTCTTATTTGGTATCATCAAAGAATATGGCAGCTTAAATCCATCAATCACCTGAAAACTGTAAGCTGATCTGAATGCTGATCTATCCTGTCCTTACTTCTGGTGCCTTGCAGGGGTGTTCATCTGAAAGCTACTTTTTATATTTTGTTTGCCAGACTATTTATGGAAATTCATTTTAGCATGTAGCGGAAAATTTAGAGATGTGGAACAGAGATGGAGACTGGAGGTGGTAAAGCCTGTTTATTAGGTCTGGGTACTGGCATTACAGTTATTTCAGAATTAAATGAATAGAGAGGAGAAACAGATGCCAAATGCATATTTGTTTAGAGGTACTGAATCCTTAATCTAGGATAGGAGGCGAAGTGTCATTCCCAAAAGTAATTTCAAATTTAGATACTGCCAGGAAGCTTTTTTGTGTGTGTTAAATGTCCTTTCTGTCCTTTCTTTGTTTACTTTCATACTTTCATAGAGATTTTCTTATGTGGAGGGAGAGAATCAGTTAGTATGTTTTTTCCTATAATAAGGGAGATATCACAGAATCACAGGATGGTTGAGGTTGGAAGGGACCTCTAGAGATACCTCCAGAGAAGGAGACTCCACAACCTCTCTGGGCAGCCTGTTCCAGGGCTCTGTCACCCTGACTGTGAAGAAATTTTTCCTTAGTTCCTGTAGAACTTTCGGTGTTGTATGTATCAAGTGCTATGGTGCTACATATATCAAGTCCAGTCTGTCACTTCTGCCAGTCTGTGATGCCCACCTCTGTCTGTCTTGTCTCTAGCAGAAAATAAGTAGTTCCACAGGCAGGGTGGACGCTCCTGTGTCCATCCCTCCTTCTCTTTTCTCCTGATCACTGGCTGTGTATCTCCTTGTCCGCCCTCCTCCTGTGCTCGGTGGCCTCTGCTGGATGTGGGGCCTTCGTTAACCAGAACCTTTTCGGTTCTTTGTGTTTATGTATGCACATATGTACTGATAATGGCAGTTTTCTCAGACATCCTCAAAATGTATTAGTCCTTATACAAGAAGGTACCTTCCTTCTGATCACAGAATTGTGGAATATTTTATGCTGGAAGGGATCTCTGGAGATCGTGCTACCCCGTCCCGCTTTCCTCAGGTGAATGTAGAGTAAAACTTAACAGTTTTTCCTGAACTGTATCTTTCTTATCTGACTTTTTTTTCAGATTGTGACCCCTTCTGGATGGGGCTCGTTGCCTGTTCTGTGTGCAAAAAAAAAAAAAAAAAAAAATCTAGAATAAGAGAAGCCACTTTATGGTGGGATTTCTAGGTCATCTTGCAACATGAGTAGTACTTGTAGGTTAAAAACAGGTGCTTTCCAGTGGATTCACATTTAAGCTTTTTACAGCAGGTTATTAAAACTTACTGACAAGATAGAATTGGTAAAACCCCAGCATGAATTAAATCAGTGTTCCCTGGCTGTCAGCGTGCTTGCTGTTCCTTGTTCCAGAGAGGACGAGCTGTGTTGTCAGGGGCAAAAACTATGGACCTTGAAGGGCAGAGATGTGGGCAGCCTGCTTTTCTTTACCATGCAATACTATAGCCATCGTGGCTATATGAGGCAGCCTGGGGTTTCAGGCATCCTAGTTTTGAATAAGGGTGAAAAAGGATGAATTTGAATAGACTTTGGAAAAAAATATCGCCATGTTTACATTGGGGCAGTTTGGTGACGAGAGGACTTGGTGAACTTTTGCTTAATGTCTGGGATTGGATTGGTTATCTAGGACAGAGATGGTAAATAGATAGGAAATAATATTACCAATGACATCTCCCTTTACTGTAGAAGATACGACAGTCTCTGCATGAGGTCCATGTTACCATGTGGAGTGGCAGTTCTTTCTCCTTAGGAGAGATCCTCAGATTGACTCCATGCTGGAAACCAATTATAATCTTGCCAAGCAACAGCAACACCATGTCTTTCATCAATCAGCCAAAAAGGCAATGTAGCATTTGCTTCTCATCTGGAACATCTTTATAGGCAAAAGGTATTCAGCTGTTGAAATGGTCCAGTAGTATTTATAATGATGTGGTGCATGTACTTTTAACAGTCTAAAACGGCAAGAACCCCCTTCTGTTTCTTGAGAACCACAGATTAAAGTCATAACACTGTGTCTTGTAATAATTACCCCTTTAAGAGCACTACAAGGAGGCAAAGTTGAGTGTTTTTCAAGAATTCAAGAAGAAAGTTCCCCAGGATTGAGAGAGATAAGTGCTTCAGCACAAACTCTCCAATATACAGATAATAAACCAGGAACAAGCTATTGCAAGGCCAAAACAGAGAGAGAAGTACTCTGGAGACCTATCAAGGGCATATATTCTTGAAATTTATTTTTGGCTGAATTCGGCATCCTATATTTATCTGAAAGAAGCAATTTCCTTCACTTTCTATCTCCTTCTTCACAGCTAGACATGGCCAAGAGCTATGTCTCCTTGTGAAGTTCTAGTAACTCTCATCTAGTGCTGTGTAAATGCTGAATTTGTGAGTGCAACTGGAGATTTTTAGTAGAGGTAGGCCCAGCGTCTCCTGTCTGTCCTATTGTGTTTTCTGAAATCTGCAATACTGTGGTGATTTTGGTAGCATTTCTTTTATTTTTATTTGCTTTTCTGGCAAAGAGGTGCATCTGGCCTTCAAAACGGATGCGCGGGCTTTGCAGGGTCTCCCCTGGCTGTGATGTGAGCCCCGGGGGCCCCTTTCCCTTCCGTCCTGCCCTTCCTTCCGCGGGGAATCTCGGTGTGCCTGGGTTTTTGCTGGCACTTTAGGGTTCTTTCTTGCTGTGACCTGCTGACGCCGTGTTGGGCTGCCGGTCCCGCGCTCTGCCGCGTGCCGCCCCGTCGCGGCGATGGGGAGCGGTGCTGCAGCTCAGGAACCCCCTGAGAGGAAGCAGGCCAAGAACCCGCGAGTCCGGCCTGCTCGAGAGGAGCCAAGAGGGTCTCAGCATCCGCAGAGCCTCCCTGAGCCCCCTCCGTGTGTCACCAGGTGGGACATGGCGCTTCGCTGCAGGAGGCTGCCCCTCATGACCAGTAAAGGAGGAAAGGGCCAGGACCGGCACCACCAGGTGTTTTCTGCCAAAAAGTTTAGATCTGAGTGCAAAGTTTTAAAATTTAATCTATAAAATAATTTCAGGAACTCTTCAGCTAGCCATTTCTACTTGCTTCTTTTTTTCTTAGTTATTTAGAAAGCAAAGTAGATGATGCTATAAAAAACAAAGCTGTTATAGCACAAAATAGGAGGTAGATTTGTCATCACT